AAAATCATGAACATAAATACTTATTCATAAATATTTATCTTTAAATACTTATTTATAATTAATTACCTAAATATTCTAATACCCTTCAAATCTTTTTATTCACATTAATTTAGTTTGAGAGTATAAAGATGATCTATTAACATTAATTAGTAGATAAACATAAATAATTATTCATAAATACTTATTTACAATTAATTCAGAAATAAATATTTAGTGATAGTAATTGATTTTTAAATAGTTGCAAATAATCACCATATATAAAGGTCTAAATTTTATTATGTAAATTGACCTTGTTAATTAAGTAAAGTTTATTCAGGAGATCAAAATACACTTATCTTAAAAGTTCATGCAAATAAGATAACTTTCTACTAATACATTTTTGCATTTTATGTTCGATTAATATAATTTTTAAAGAAATTTTTAATTTTTTCATCGAACGTAATATGTAAAAACGTGTTAATAAAAGGTTGTTCAATTTACATGAAAATTTTAGAATAGATGTAGTTTGACCTTCCGAATAAATTTTATTTAATTAACAAATTCGATTTACTTAGTAAAATTTAAACTTCTATATGTAGCATTAATAACGATCGTAATTATTGACTTATTTTGTAATTTTTTGAAAATTTTCGAAATAGTTTTCACAATATTTCTAAATATATTTTGAAAATTTTCGAAAATGTTATTTTTCAAAATATTTCGAAATAATCTGTGAAATTTTTCAGTTTTTTTGCATTGCAAAAGTTTTCACTTTTTAAATTTGCTGATAACTATTTAAATTTATAAATAAAATTTAAATTTTAGTAACTTAATTTTTTTTTTATTTAATAGAGTCTAATAAACTCTGAAATAAAAAAAGGTTTATTAAAATTGTATTCATAAATCTAAATATTCTTAAAGAGTTATTTTCCTAGCAAAAATTCTATATACTGATGATTAAACAACTATCGATAGCAAGATAATAATAAAATACAGGTTCATATCTTTATTTTATTTATTCATTTATTGAAAATCAAAAAAAAAAAACATTAATTATTAATAATTTTATTTATAAAAGTCTATATTAAAGTTTTTATTCTTAAAAAAATAAAGTTTTACATATTTCAGATAAAACAATATTTGTATATTAACCCCATTGTGCAGCTTTTGAGAAATCATATCCCATTGGTGGAGGAGGTCTAAGTGATGGTGGCAAATCTCTTAACGATATACCAGACGGAAGTTTATATTTAAACATTGGTATTGGTTTTTGTTGTAATGATTGCCCACCTTGTTGTTTTGTAAATAATTGAGGACGTTGTTGTTGAAGAAGGATAGGATTTTGAGCCAAGTATACTGCAGGCAAAAAAAAAAAAAAAAAAAAAAAGATCGAGATATTTAATTTGAAGTTTAGAGTCATCAATGAAGGTAAAATAACAATTAGACTTACAATGGGGATCAATAATAGAGAAATCAACTCCATATGGAACATGAGAGTATTTACAACTTAGACCAAAAGGGCAATAACCAGATTCGCAAAATTTTCGGCAAGGAGATTTCTTACAATTTTCCAGCAATAATTCGACAGGATCTAATTTGGTTTAATTTTCTAGACCTAACTGCTAAGAGTAATAAAAACCATTGCAAGTATACATTTCGTTACCTTTATAAGAATCATAATGAAGTTTTACGTTATTTTGATGAATTGCTCCTTCGATATGACTTTTTCTAGCCTCGGCATTATCGGTAAAAATTCGGTCACAATAATCGCAATAATCTTATCCAAAAAAAGATATTGTTTATTTTTTTCAAATACATAAAAAAAAAAACTTTATAGACGAACTTACATTTTTTCACCATTTGATTAGGAAAGTTTACCGTTTGAACTTTTTATATGTTAAAATCTAGACTGTATCACAGTCTTCACGTGAATGCCCTACATTAATAATTAGTATTAATGCAAAATACAATTACGTAATACAATTATGTGATACAATTATCTCATATTTTTTAAGGTTTCAAAAAGAACAAAATCGAATTTGTAAAGTAAATATTGAAATAAAGATACGAATTTTTATTTTAAATGTGCCCATTTACAGAAAATATACTTTCATCATGTATATGCTATTTTTGAATTGATGTAATTATCTGATAAAATGTTTATATAAAATGTTTATTTGTGTCAATATATAGTACGATGTTTTTATTTATTAGTGTTGATTCGCTGTTTGGAATGGTTTAAGTGCGAGTTTTGCTTTATATATCTATTATATGTTTTATAAAAATGAAAAAAAAATATACAGAGCACATTAGCTGTAAAGAATTGATCATAAAATATGTATATAAAATAAAATTACAAACCCGTCGTGCTAGTCTACCGACATTTCCATCAACACTAACAACTTCCCATGCAAAATCTACACCAAACATCATCTTAATCCCATAAACAATACGTTTAGCATGAATTTCCTTCATTAATATGTAATCATCACTTGTAGTATGTGG